TTATTAGTTTAGTCACTTAAAGCAACATTATTGTATATTACATAACAACTATACTGTACAATAGCCAAGACAGTAAATAACAATGTTTTTTCCCTTTTGAATAATATTTGATTTTTGATTTATCCAGATGTGAAAGTATAGCTCCAAGTAGGGAGTTGTTATTAAACTCCCTGCTCAAAAAAAAAAACAACATGCAATAATAATAAATGTCAAACTATTGAATCCCAACACATATCAGGAAAAGATATTTAAATTAATTATACCATCCTTTCTCATACGAAAACTAATTTATGCATTGTCATTATAACAGTCCCGAAAAACGGTATTATTTCTAGGGGTTAGAAGCTTATACAGGCCTATATTTAAAATTGCCACTCTTTACAATCTGACCAACATATTCATACACTTTGAATGCACATGCATAACCGATAACTCCTTTGATTTACCCAACTTTGTGTAGACTTCGTCGCTGTTACTTCCACCAATCGTCAACATCGTTCGTTCGGCCAGAATTCAGATCGAGAAAATGAGTTTCCACAGTCGTGATTATAGTGTCAATTTTCTCAAATATATTTTCATGCAGGCCCATTTAAACAGTAAAGTGCTAGTAATCCTATAAGAATCCTTAGTTTACAGTATACTCAGGTGTTTAGTGCATGTGTCAGGCGCGGATCCAAGGGGGATCCGCGCAAGTCCGCAAGTTGGCCACCTGGCCTGGGTCCAAAAAAAAAAAGAAAAAAGAAACTTAAAAAAAAAAAAAAAATTGATCGCCCAAAAGGCCTCAGAGGTTATTTTCGGCCGTCTAGAATACAGAAATTTTTCTATTGGGTCCACATTTTAAAAATGGGTCCAGATTTCTCTTGCGTAATAGGTCAATTTTTAAGAAAATGGGTCCAGATTATTCATATTTTTGCGTAAAATGGGGCAAAATGGGTCCACATTACTTATGCGTAAAGTGAGTCCACCATGATATTGTCCCACACAGTTTTGAAAATCCTCGCTACGGCATTGCCCTGTACAGTGTTGTCATGAAATAGATTAGACCAAGCAAACTCCGCAAACCCTGCAAGCCTCCAAAAACACAGTGCAAACCCTGTCTCTTATACACATCTAGATGTGTATAAGAGACAGGTATCAAAACAGAGGACTTAAGAGCTAAATTACGTTTAACAACAATTTGCATACACACCAGACTAAAATCAGGACTAAAATTGCTGCAACGGATGACGCAGATACAAGCACGATCATCATCAAATCTGAAAAAGAAAAGAAATCATTTGGGCATACAGTATATTAAACTGAAAACAAAATCTAATCCTAAGCTTTAATGTTGAAAAATATCATGTTTATAGTTGACAAATGCTTATTATCATTTTCCTGTATTCTTTAAAACAGATAATATTTAGCCTTAGTATATTTTTTAACCTAGTACTTCTTTTGGTGTTTAAATTTAATCTACATGTTAAGGATGCAATGTGGAGAGTCGCTCAAAAAGCTACCATTTTTGGCAATCCTACTGTATCTTAATTTTATTGTTTTGGATATACTGCTACTTTGAAATTAAAGAAAACGTAATAAAATATAAAATAAAATAAGGTGAATGTAATTATTTTCCCAAAATACTGAAATATTATCGAAAGACATAACTTGAACGTATATTTTCAAATAAACTTTCTACTTTGAATAAACGCATCCTGGTGATGTAAACAAAATTTTACATTCTTGACATTATTCTATCATATGCCCTATAGTAAAATTTTACTGTATATTTTGCTTAAATTTCAACGTGCACAATCACTTTCTAAAACGTCTCACAACAGCTGCTAAGAAATAGTCAATGGGCGTCAGACACCAATATCCAGGACCCATTATTCCGACCAGGGGGGGGGGGGGAGTGGCGCTCACGTTGGCCTTCTCTGAAAATTGAAAGACCTCTATCAACCTACTCTTCTCTGAATGAGTGCGATGCGTATTTCCGAAACAAAGCCGAGTAAAATCGCAATTGTTTGTACATTTCGTAACCATCTCAGTAACCACTCCATCGAGTTCATGGGTGCAACGGTTATCAGAGGCTCAATATATTGTGACAACAATGTAATGGAAGCGTGTAAACCTACTAGGCCAACAATTTTTACATTATTATTATTATTATTATTATTATTATTATTATTATTATTATTATTATTATTATTATTATTATTACAGAATTATTATTACAGTATTATTATTATTATTATTATTATTATTATTATTATTATCATTATTATTATTATTATTATTATTACCATTATTATTAGTAGTAGTAGTATTATTATTACAGTATTATTATTATTATTATTATCATTATTATTATTATTATTATTATTATTAGTATTATTATTATTACAGAATTATTATTACAGTATTATTATTATTATATTATTTTATTATTATTATTATTATCATTATTATTATTTTATTATTATTATTATTATTATAAACGATTTATTCCTTTTGTTATCATTAAAACCCGTAGAGTTCTCCCTCCTCGTGTAACCTGGTTGACTCACATTAGCCATAAGTACACTGTTTTTACTCCCTCTGTTCGCACTGTCTCCCACTCTCGCTTCTTCATCATCCGAACCTCGATTCTCTGGAATTATCTGCCTTCTGTTTGTTTCCCTTCATCCTTTATCCTAAAGATTTTAAAAACTCCCTCTAACCTTTCTAGCCTAGTTCTCATCGTTCCTTTGCATGTTATAGGGTTACCTTTGTCCTGCATTATCTAATAAAAATTTAAAACAAAATAAAATATATACTAGTGTTTAATATTGTCTGCATAGATTTCTATTTTTCTAATTAAAAAAAATTATATTTAGTCAATTGAATTTTATATAGCCGTTATTAAACAATTATTACTCACCATGACGTCATGATAATAATAAATTAAGTAAATCACCTTTATGTTAATGTTTTGTGTGCTTCCTATCTCTCTAGTCCTGTTTTATTGTAAATTAGATGGTAAGTATATCCACTCACAATAGTGTAGTCGCAATACTACTTGCACAAAAGTGAAATTCAAAAAGAGGAGAAAAGAAAAAAACCTCTTGATTGATTTTAAAAGTATTGTACATGGAAAAAGACTAAATTAGAGGGACTGTTTAAAGTTTATCTTATTTGTTTTTAATGGTTCGAAAACGTCACAAGCAAATTAGTCGATAATAAATCATTATTTTTATGAATGTTAGTTGCACGCAATATATGCTTGGGCATGACTCTGATTGCCAGGATAAATTGAAAAACTTTTATGATGAGTATTTCAGTGGCAGATTCAAGGGTGCCCTGCCAGCCCACCCTCCCGAAATTTTTCAAAATTTAGAAGTGTATAAAAGAAAATTATACGTAAATTTAAGTCTGAGTGTGCTATTTCCGGCCAACTGAGGCGCCATAATCTTACCTTTTCTACATTCCATCAGTAAATGTCCCTCCCAGGGACACTCCATTAGTAAGACCCTCTTTGGGCCCCCCTCAATTGCGAATTCCTGGACCCGCACTGTATTTTGAAAATGTAGTGTGGAAAATAAATGTTCATTGCCTTCCTTACAATCAATTAGATACGACTTATAAAAGGCTATAGACGCCATAGCTTCCGAGGCCTTCGCCCCAGCCAAGTCTTGGAAATTTTCCCCCTCCCCCGCACTTTCAACCACGGATCGACGCCCTTGAACACAATGAAGCTACGGTTTTCAGGTCAACAGTCTACAGATATTACCTTTATTTGAGCTAGACTTTATTGATTCATCACTTTTACTAGTTGTTTCTTTGTTTTCACTGGTAAATGGCTGTACTGATGGTCTACCAGCAGTCGTGGATAATTGCTGGGTTGGTGAGAAACGAAAAAATGTGGGTTTATTATTATCAAGGCTGTGTTATGTGTTGCAGCATTTATGCGTGTGATTGTGTATAATGTTTACATGATGATTGTGTACACATTATTTATTGATTACCGTAAATTAGTTATTGTTATTTACATATACAGTAGAACCCCTCCTTTGGGACACCCCTATTCAGGGAACACCTCTATTAAGGGGACACTGTTTTGTGAAACTATGGGTGATATATCTTTTAACACTGCGGCCAACCCCAGTTAAGGGGACACCCCTATTAAGGGGACGGGGACGGACAACTTCTGAGTGTGCCAAATGGCCAAATAACCCCTATTAAGGGGACACTTCTTTTTCCTGTTTATATTTATCACAACAAATACAACATTCTTAAAATAAGAACAATTCACTAAACTTTATAGCCTATATTGACACATTTAGAGCATTTAATTAAGGAACTTATCACCTTTCTAACTATCACCTTTCTACTGCTTCTTGTCAAGGGCGAGCCTTTGCTAGACTACGTAATAATAATAATAATAATAATAATAATAATAATAATAATAACAATAATAATAATAATAATAAGAATAATGACAATAATAATAATAATAATAATAATGATAATAATAATAATAACAATAATAATAATAATAATAATAATAATAATAATAATAATAATAATAATAATAATAATAATAATAATAATAATATTTTAACAGAAATTGGAAATAGAATTTTGAACCAAGTAAAATAATCCGTCTTTGTTTGGTGGTAGTAGTAGTGTGTTTATATTTTCATGGTTTGTTCTTTTGCTTGTATCTGTTTAGTGTTAATAGCTAGGTTCACATTCAGAATTTAACGTGATCTAGTGGATCATGATCAAGCCAGTCACTTTATGTGAACCAACCAGAATCAAATAACGTGCTCAGCTTAATCACCTTATTGTGATCTAGTGGA